ATTTATTTTATTATTATTATTAGTGGTAATAAAAACGAGCGTGTTCGATTTGACTGCGGCTGCAACTGTAAATTAAAACAACGCCGAAACACGCAACAAAAATTAATTGTCTAACACCAAATAAACTATACAAAACATCGACGACGACTCAAAAGCAAAAAAATATAGAGAGAAAGAAATAATAATAAAACTGGGCGTGTGTCCAGCTTAATGAAATGCTCTTGGCTTTGCTGGGCGGGGCGGGAAGGGGGTGTAGGGGTGACTGGGACTATGGCTTACTCCAAACATTTTGGGCGACTCTCTGACACACCTACAACACCAACCAATTCCAATTCCAATCCCAATCCCAATTCGAATTCTAGAGGCAATGGCACTAGCATATCTCAGGGTCATGCGGTTCTGCGGTTCGTCTGCTAATTAAGCAAGCGAAATAAAAAAAGCAACAACAACAAAAACATCAGCGAAAGAGGGAAAACAAAAAATTAAATTAAAAAAGAAAACGAAACAAATTCAAATACAACATGATAAACAATTAATTTTGATTAGCCGGCCAACGCCGCACAATTAAGAATGTGAAAGAATGAAAAGCAAAAGTGTTGTCCGAATAAGAAATCAATAACACTGTCCAGCACATTTAAGCACAGAACTCCAATCGAGCGCATTTATGTATATGGAGCACACACACACCCCCACACACACACACTCAACACACACGTGCTGGTGCTTTAAGGGCTTGCTAAAATGGCGGCCATTGTCACCGCACACACACACACATACGCGCACACATAGACAGTCGCACCTATAATTCTTGCAGTCTGGCGCTGGTCAGTTTTAGGCGCCGTTAGATAAACTCCCCAACAGCAACAAAAACATTGAAATTGCCGCCTAAACTGAACACCTAACGTACCACTATTTTCATCTATCCATCCCGCTCGCACACTCTGTTGGCCAACTGCATCTGTGTGGCGCTGCATTTGGCTACAGTTTTCGGTTTCAAGTTCAGGCCAAAAATGTTTGCGCAAATGTTTTGGTCAGTTTTTGCCAGCCGCCCACTTTTTTGGCTGCCCGTTAGGTTGACACATGCGTGTGTGCGAGTGTGTGTGTGTGTGCGTGTGTGTTTGTGTGTGTTCAACTATAACAACGAGCACAGCAACTGCCTAATGCAAGCTTAAAGTGCTGCACAAACTCTTGTAGGCCTTAAAGCCAACAATTGAGTCGAGTGAGTTGTTGATGTTGTTGTATTTGTAGTTGTTGTTGTTGTTGGCTCGATGACTTAATGTCTCGCAATCACGACAAAAGCACACACACACTTATACATATATAGATAACACACACCCACACACACACACACACAGAACAAGGACAACAACAGAGACTCAGCAACGTGGTTGAAACTCGTCCCGTCGTCCTCCCGTTGTCCCGTTGGCCATGTGACTGCTGCGCCTGTCACTGACAGCTAGCGCACCGCCCGCCCCGCCCCCGCTCGCTCGCATTGTATGTGTGGCCCGCAAATACATAAATTTTTGAAGGATTTCGGCGCTGAACTTGTCAAAATCAGACGACAACACCAACAGAGCCAACAGAGCGAACATAGCCATATACATACGGAGCTGCCGTTCGCGTCCCCCGATTGCTGGCTGTGGGCTATTGATTCACCCATCGGTAAAGAGAGGAGTGTAGTGTACATACAGACGGACAATGCGAGAGCAGAGCTTGCGACGCGCTCAACAAGGTCATTGGCTCGGGCTCGTTTGGGGCCCGCAGATGATCATCAATCAAATGGGGGAAAGCCTTAAGTCTTCGGTGCCGGGTCTTAAGTGTGTTTGCCTGTTCGATTTTTGGCGCGTTCGGTTACAAAAGTAACAAAAGTCCGCTCATTTGGGCACGGGAATGGGAATGGGATTCGGAATGGCAGATAGGGAATGCGAGGGGAATACGCGCCGCTCAATTCCCACATTACTTATGTACAAGTACAAATTGTGGTAATTTTCAGAGATCTCTTTGTTGGCGATTTTGTTTGTGCTTTGCTTTGTTTTCTTAGCTGTGTCTATAGCTGTGGCTATATCTGTGGCTGTGCCAGTGGCTGTGGCTCTGCTCCGCTCTGGTGTGTGTTGGTGCTCCACAATTTCCTCATTTCTAAAAGCAACGTTGCCTGCGAGCTGTTTTGTATATTCGCTCATTCGCTGCTGGCTCTGCCACCAACACTAAAATTAGCATAACAACTTTATAGTTTAACTGCTCGACTGCCTGGGTCTGGCCCCGACCCGGCCTGCTCTGGCTCTGGCTCTGGCTCTGGGCCCGCTCGCTGGCCTGCAACTGATCCGGTCTGGCTGTATCTATAAGTTTGTATCTTGCATGCATTGCATATACTACATATATGCACAGGGACGCCAACACTAAGAATGAGTGACAAAGAGACAAAAAACATACAGAGAAACGGAACAAAACTCGATTTGTGCTTGCTGCAGCTCAAGAGCTGCACAGTAACTAATCTGTTGTGTGTATCTAAAGGATTGCTGAAAGCCAAAATGACAAAAGGTCTCGCTACGTTTTGCAGGTGGCTGCAGCAGCTGCTGAGAATACCAAACCAGAAGCCATGGGTGGGGGGAGAGGGGCTAGGCAAACACAGTCAGCCATTGATAGACCCATTTCAAAGTAAGCACACACACACGCAGACACACGCAGACACACAGACAGAGTGTGTCAGGTGCAAATCCTGGCTGAAAGCTGAATGCCAAGTCAAGAGCCACTTGCCTCAAAGCGAACCCAATGCCAATCCCAAGCCGCCAAGCGTCACTCAGTCAATTGCTCATTTAGTGTCAAAGATTTTTCCAAGACGATAACAACACACACACATACACACTCACATCAATTGCGAGGGAAAACTGCGGCAGCAAAAAGTGCCATCATTTCTTGTCGCTGCACAAAAATCTTGTCAACTGGCTGCGCCACGGCTTCAGCTCCTCGCAGCTCCAAAATTATGCAGTGTGAAGCGATGACGACGACGACGACGACGACGACGACGCCACTTGAGTATAAAAATGATAAAAATCTTACACAAAAACAACAACAACAACAAGCAGCAATCACAATCACAAAAGGCCGTAATCACAGAAGGCGGAGAGCAGAGCCACGCTGAACTTTAAAAACATACATACATACATATATACATACATACATATATATTCTCATGTAGTTGTTGCCGTTGTTGCATATACGTGAAACCAGTTTGCAATTGAGAGCGAGACGCAGCTAGTGCGCGCTCACTCACACACACACACAAACACACTGTGAGTGAAACAGATTAACTGATAACATTAAAAATTACTTTTTTTTTTTTTGCTCTCTGTTAACTGTTTTGCTGCTGCTGATTTTTGGCGCTTAATTAATATGCAAAAAACGTCGAAAGAAAAGAAGCGACAACAGCAACAATCAGCTAAATATACTTATATCTCTATGTACACACATAGAGATATCTATATATATCTATATATGTATATATATGCATATAGTGTCGTAGCCAAAGTAATCACAAGGTCAAACACAATGCGAACCGTTTTGTTATTTTTTTGGGAGCTTCAATTTTTGTTGACGTGCTTGGAAATAATATTGAAATGAATGTAGGTAGACAAATTTACCGATATATAAATAATATATGGGCAGGTTAAAATATATACTCTGACGCTGAGCAAGATTTCTGATTGAATTAGATACAAAAATATTGCCAATAATATGAAAGTATATTATATTAATTTTTTTTCTCTCTCTATTTCTTTCTCTCCCTCTCTCATAGTATGACGATGGCCTGCATGGCTACGGCATGGACTCTGGCGCCGCCGCCGCGGCGATGTACGATCCACATGTCGGCCATCGGCCGCCGGGACTGCAAGGCCTCCCCTCGCACCACTCACCGCACATGACGCACGCCGCGGCAGCGGCCACAGTTGGGATGCACGGCTACCATTCGGGGGCCGGAGCGCATGGTACACCTAGTCATGTATCACCGGTTGCTAATCACCTAATGGGCGCAATACCCGAGGTACACAAACGTGATAAGGATGCGATTTATGAGTAAGTAATACCCCAAAATAAAATGTCGTCTTACCAAAACCCTTTCGATTGCTCAAATCAATTGACGCTGAGCGCCGTGAATGAACCAATTCAGCGATAAGCGCAGATCATAAAGTGTTTGCTCATTCATAAATTGGATTAGACTCGCTCGAAGAGTGCAAAGTGATTAGCGATTTGGAGTTGAAAACATGATCACGTGAAATACTTGATAGGCTTCGAGCTATATATAGATCTAGACTATCAAATCAGACCACCAGCCATATCAGCTTTGAGATTTAGTACGTCAAAGAGCAGCTCATATACATAGATCCTTATCATTCTCAGGCATTTATAGAGGCGTTTATGCTGATCTATTATATACATGACATAGAATCGTGATAACATGATCTGCTTTAGGTTGAGTACCTGAAAACCCAGCTCATATAGGGTGATCTTTAGTTAGATCAATCATTTGCAATTTTCATTATCATTTAGATCTTCATTCGACCTGGATCATCTTGAATAAATGACAAATGCAGCTTTTGGCCAATTGATTTATTTAATTTAGTCAAGTTCCGTCTGGCCTCCTGCCAAGATCCTCATCAATTTTTGGGTCTTTTGATCAGTGATCGCCTCACATATTGAATACCAATTGGCAGGGATCGAACCCTGGGCCGAGCCGCCACCTGTTGCCGCCTGTTCGCACCTCTGGCGAAGCAAAGTCGCAGAGCAGAATATATATTCGAGGCGAGGGAGTAACATAATTTAACACACACGCGACTCAATGCCCACGATCCTGCTGCAAAGCAAACAAAATTTGAAAACGAGCAACAAAGAACGAAAAAACAAAAAAACAAAATACAAAATGTTTTTCTCTTGGCTGGGCGTGACCTTCTGTGTTTTGCACAAAATACAAAATTATGGGTTTCCTTTTGGCAAGAGAATTTCTTTTTTAATTTGTGAGCTGCGAGTGCGGTTGTGGCTGCAGATCGGGGGGTGTGGCTCGTGTTTAGTGACGGACACGGCACAACGAACGTGCTTAGGCATTAGGGAGTCCATGCCAAATGAGCAGCAGGTTGTTATTGTTGTTGTTGTTGTTGCTGTGCCTTCTGTTCGGTGTTAAGTTGCCAAAATGCGGTTTCGGCTTTTTCTAACTTGATCAAGGAGCAGCGTAGGACACGCTCTGCCCGTGTCATTCGCATTTCTGCAGTTGCGTGCGTCCTGCCAACTGGCAATTTTCATGTGCTGCAACTGACGATGGCCGGACCCGGGGACAGCTGCTTGAACCTTGTTTGTCTTTGGCTCTGGCTCGTTTTTGTATTCGCATTTTAATAAGCAAATATTTGCTTCAATTTTTTTTGCTTTTTGCTTTTTGTTTCTGTTTTTTTTTTTTTTCTTCCTCGGCAATTTTATGAATGAGTTAACTTTGAGCTGCCATCAATCAGCTGTTGCTGTCGCTGACTGTTTGATGAGCCTCCGTGCTCATCCTCTACTATCGGACTCTCAAGTGGGTGAGCAAACATGGCGCATGACTTCATTAGCACACTTTTTGGCTGGGACTTTGGCTGTGCCACCTGCAACAGCCACTGGCACTGGCACTGGCACTGTAAATAAAAACTCRAAAATGCGCTTCTTATTTGTACAATTGACACCTTGAAAGCGGCAGCCAGACACAAAAATAATAATAACAACAATAAGAAATGGACGCAATGAAAAAAGCAGCCGCTACAATAAAAATGAACATGCGCAGAACTCTCTTAACACCTTCTCGAGTGGAGTGCTGCAACAACAGCAACAACAACAGCAACAACTTCAGCTGCCTGTCACAAATGCCAAGTCATGGCAAATGAGTGCACACTTTTTTCTGTTGTAGCTTGGCTCGATCCTGGCCAGCGGCAAAGGGCATGGAAATGGAATTGAAAGTTGGAATGGGAAATGGGAATGGAAACTCTGCCGCTGCTGCCGCTGCTGCTGCTGTTGCTGCTGGTGCTCTGCGCACTCGACTGTAAAAAGCGCAAGGGCCTTGGCATTAGCAGTTGTTGCTGCAGAGTTCAGGGGTTTCGGGCCATGGTCCGCTTATTAATAGTTGTTAAGCGCACGGCTACACCCTCGCCTCGCCAATGGCCAATGGTCAGTTGTGCCATCTAATGACCAAATGAAGAGTGCCTGGGCTGGGCCAAGGAACAGCCCCGCCGTTTGCCGAGAGGGTTCGTTCGCTCGCTCACTCGCTCGCTGCCTAATTTTGTTCAGGTGCAATTTGTGCTTGGAGCGTGAAGAGCAGTTAACAATAATAAAAAACAAAAGAGGAGAGTGAGGGAGAGTGAGAAAGAGAGAGGCAGAGGGTAACCAGCCGAAAATAGAAAACAAAAAATGGTCAAATCATGCATAGTTGCTGAACTAATCCGTCAAAATGTAGGGCCTGGTCACAATTGGAGGGATTATATGTAGATGTAGATGTGGACGTATTTTCTGTTTTTTTTTTTTTTTTCTTTTTTTTTTTTTTTTTTTTGTTCTCCGTTTTTTCCTTAGGCTGAAACGAAACAGCTGCTGTTCATTTGCATGGCAGGAAATAGTTAAAAGCAGCTGGCAATCCACTGGGAAATAATGTTTCTAACTCATGAATATATAGTACATACATATAGATATGGCTTCGGCGTCGACCTTCACTTAAATCGGCACAAATCTTAATCTAACTCTTTTCGGTGTATTCATCTGTTGAAATACCAAATTTGAATGGTGTGGATTAAATGCTTGATAATATTAAAAAAGATAATAAAATTAAATAAAATAAAGTGAAAATGCAAATAAAACAAAAATAAAAAAAATATATATAAGCAATACACAAAAAATAATAACAATAATTTAAATTAT